TCCTTATTTATCATCATCGTTGTTTCTCTCCGTCCGTTTTTTTATATTATTTTTATTATTTTTATTATGCGACAGCGGCCGAGACGGTCGGAATTTTTTTAATTTGTTTTATTTGTCCGTCTTGTCCCTCTTATATTTTTTATTCGTCTTGCAGGAGTTTGTCGCCGGGGAGCCGCGGGAGACAGCGCGTCTGCTGCACGCCGCGCTGCAGTGGCCGCACCTCGCCGGCACCCTCGCTCCACACTTCACGCCGAACTGCGGCGGCGCGGCGGCGTTCACGCGCCTGTACGCGAGCGTCGTCGAGGCGGCCGTCGCGCAGGGAAGCGACATGGCCTTCATGATGCTCACAAAGGTGAACGGCGCCACCTGGAGGCGATCGCGGCGCCACCTACAGTCGTTTCATGGTTGGGGTGATTGGTACCGATTATAGTTGTTCGGGGGCGTTCGCTGGGCGATGAGCGCCATCTGTAGTTGTTTACAGTGTGATGGGCGCCACCTGTTATAAAACCTGTTAATATATTTTGTTCTGATCTATTACATTGTTTTTATCGGCTTGCACGAAGATAGGTTTAAAGCTGGGAATATATATATATATATATATATATTATATAATATAGATAGATATAGATAGATATAATATATCTATATATATATATATATAGATAGATAGATAGATATAATATATATATATAAATGATAAACATGTATATATACGAGTAATTGCTTGCTTTATTCCATAGTTTGACCTGCAGTGGTGGTTCAGCGAATCTAACCCTACGCTGTCGGACAGGACGGTGTTCCTAGACAGCATCGTACAGGCCATGTATTACACCAGCCAGCAGTCAGACGCGGACGTCATGATGGGGGTAAGTACCCACGAACGCACGCACGCACGCACGCACGCACGCACGCACTCACGCACGCACCCACGCACGCACGCACGCACGCGCTCGTGTACGTGCACACGTACGCACACGCACGCACACGCACACGCACACACACATATAT